TGACCATGGGAGGGACCTAGGAGTGGCCAGTAAGCTGGGGTGAACAGAACTCCTGGGACCTGGACCATGTGGCCAAGGGAGAATGGAGCCTAGCCAGGATTAAGGGTGGGAAATGGCTGGGGTAGGGGGGGCATAGGGAGGTAACACAATGGAGGGGAGAGGGGTGTAGCCACAATGAAAGGCCAGTTGATGGGATTATAGCCTCAAGTGAATGCCAGAGATTTGGCCATGTGGGAAAGTCCAGGGATTTTCCTTTCTGGAGTCTAGATCCCATCCTCATCATTCCCTCCTCAAACAAATGGGACCCAAATTATTTTGGTGTAAAGGGCAAAGGTCTCATCTTCTGAAACTGAATAGCTAACATTTATACAGTGCTTACTATATATATTACTCCTGACACATGTCAAGCACTGTGCTAAGGACTTCTACAATTATTACCTTATTTGATCCTCATAACAACCCTTTGAGGTAGGTACTATTATCATCCCAATTTTACAGATGAGGAAACTGAGGCAGACAAATTAAGTGACTTGTCTAGGGTCTCACTGCTTGTAAGTGTCTGAGGCTGTATTTGAACTTAGGTCTTCTTGACTCTATAAGGCAGCCTAGGGGTCTCAGAGGATAGAGCGTTGGACTTGAAGTTCAAATCTAGCCTCAGACACTTACTGGCTATGTGACCCTAGGCAAGTCACTTAACAACCTCTGTCTTAATCCTCTGGAGAAGGAAATAGCAAATCACTCTTTGCCGGGAAGACCACTGAATGACAACTTCCTGACTCCAGGCTGTTTTTCTCTTCTAGTTTCCATTGTTTCATAGAACTTCAGGATGGAAAGAACTTCAGAGATCACTAAATTCAACCACGCCTTATTTTACAGATGAAATAAATTTTAATAAACTGTGTCCACGCAATGAGGGTAAATGACAGACCTGCAGTTAGAACCTAGACCTCCAGCTTTCCAGAGTATGGGGTTACTTCTATTTATATCATGATGTCTCATCAGAGTGCACTTAAAATTTCGGACTCCTAATTGGGAAAAAAGTCACCTTATTTCTCAGAAGCATTAACAAATGTGTTAAAGAAAGTTAGTGCCAGAATTGCCTTCAGCCATGCCCTCTTTCTTAACCAGAAGTTGAATGGTAATGCACCATGGTAAGGGTATGGAATAGAAAACAGAACCCTGAATCCTCATCTCTGTTTGGGCATTTACTCATTTATGACCTCTCTGAGCTTCAGTTTTCCTCATCTGTAAAATGGGGATAAATAATGTCTTTATTAACCTGCATCAGAAGATTTTTGAGAAGCTCAGACAAGATGTGGGTGAAACACTTTGGAAGAGTTTTCAGGGTCCTTGCTAACTGCTACACAAATAAGCCAGCATAGGTCTATATCCTAAAATCATCCAAAAAAGGGGGAAAGGACCTATTTGCACAAAAATATTTATAGCAGCTCTTTTTGTGGTGGCAAAGAATTGGAAATCAAAGGGATGCCCATCAATATGATTGTAATGGAATATTATTGTGCTATAAGAAATGGTAAACAGGATGATTTCAGAAAAACCTGGAAAGACATGAGCTGATGCATAATGAAGTGAACAGAACCAGGAGAATGTTATACACAGTTAATAGCAATATTGTACGATGAAGAACTGTGAATGACTAAGCTATTTGCAGCAATACAATGATCCAAGACAATCCCAAAGGACTCGTGATGAAGCATACTGTCCACCTCCAGAGAAAGAACTGATATTGATCGAATACAAACAGAAGCATGCTATTTTTCACTTTCTTTCATTTTTTTTATTCGAGTCTTCTTATACAAAATGACTAATACGGAAATGTTTTACATAATTTTTCATATGTATAACCTATATCTGATTGCTTACCGTCTCAGGGAGGGATAGAATTTGGAACTCAAAACTGTAAATCAAAATGCTAAAAAATTGAAAAAAAAAAAGAAAAGAAACACACATACAACAATTAAGACAGCATAGGTTACACAGAGTCACACTGCAGTTTATTTATCAACTCAAGAGTGCGACACATCCCATCAGTAGGTGATAGACATGTGACATACAGATGATACACACATATACGTACACAATACACATACACACAAATACATACAAACATATATAGATTTATCTTTATCTGTATCTATATCTGGGGCAGCTAGGTAGTGCAGTGGACAGAGCACTGGGCTTGGAGTCAGGAAGACTCATCTTCCTGAGTTCAGATCTGACTTCAGACACTTATTAACTGTGTGATCCCGGATAAGTCACTTAATCTCTGTTTTCATCAGCTTCCTCTTCTCAAATGTATAATGTGCATGTGTATGCGTGTGTGTGTGTGTGTGTGTGTGTGTGTATACACATGTATGTTTTTACATTTTAAAAAGGCAGGTGGATGGATTTGACCACCCACATGTAGTTTGCTGACACCTGCACCATATAGCATGTGGCCTCCCAGCAAATATTTACTGAATAAACTAAATTTCAATTTTCAGCAAAGTTTCCCTCACTAGAAGGAGCTAGAGACACACAAAAGAAACCAAGCCTTTGGAATTTTCAAGGGATTATGAAAGTACGGAGGCCAAGTATTAATCCCTTTGAAAAGAAAGAGCATGTATATGTCAAAGACAAAATGCCAAGCTTGTATTTTAATTTTTAAAAACATAAAATACAATTTTAGGAAATTATATAATAATCATAGTCATAGGATCAGAGATAGAGAGTTGGAAGGGACTGTAGAAGCCAACTAGTTCAACTCCCTCATTTTACAGATGAGGAAATTAAGGCAGAGAGGCTATCACACACAAATTAAATGTCAGGCCTGAGATATAAACCAAGGTCTTCTGACTCTAAAGCTGGCATACTTTCTACTACACTACACTGAATCAAAGGAGAACACCCATCAAGGAAGAGGATAAAACAAGGAATGCCAAAAGTTAGTTAAAAGTACATCCTTTGTCACATCCTTAAATCAAGGGGAAAAACATTAGACCCATTCCCGGAAACAGAATAATCAAAATGGTTAGTGCTTGTTTAGAGAAGCATTCTAATTCCATAGGTTTTCAGTGCCAATGCCTTTTCCCAGAAAAAAAATATCATTCTTATTTCTACTTTCTTAGAAATTTTATTTTAACTTTTCTGGAAGATGTTATAAAATGACAACATCACTTTATCATCCCCGCCCCCAATTATGTAATTTTGTTTTGTTTCATTCCCTAAAATGTCCTACTCTTCTTACTTTTCTAAGTATCTACCATGTTTTTTGAATCTTTCCATATGGCTTTTTGTTTCTCATACACAGAGTCCTGGAAAATTTTTTCTACTTGTTTACGAAAGCCACAACTTTCTTCTTCCAGAGCATTGATAGTCTGTAAGGCAAATGGAGTCCTATCCCGGGGCAGAGGATTATTTAACGGCCTCATTGGTATGACAGAATTGTATTTATGTTGTTTATTAATGGAGTTCATTAGGGATGTGTAGAACTGGAAATTGCACCAAGTATCCCTTAAAAAGTTTTCAGTCAATAAAAAAATGGTCCACGCAGACCCGTTTACGGCATCGTCTAAATTCTGTAAGTGCTGTCTGCCACATGGCATTTCAGCGTAGATTATTCCGGGTTTAATGCCAAATTGATTTTGCAGCATCCCTTGGACTCTGAGGGCTTCACAGGTATCATCTTCAGCATGCAGAATCACAAACTTAAAGAATATCTCTTCTTCCAAGTCGTCTTTAGGTAGCTCTTCTGCTCTCTCCTCTTCCTCCTCCTCCTCCTCCTTTTCTTCCTCTTCTTTTAGTTTGTTCAGGTCCTTGTCACTACGACTCCCTTTAATATCCTCAGAGTGTTTGGCCTCTTGTTTAGAATCCGTGCTCTTCCTCCTTGGAAAAGTGGAAAGAGGGCAGGAGTCTATTTTAGAATTCTGGATGCCCATGATAAATATCCAAGTCAAAAGGGAGCTTTGCTTAATTTCAGCATTTCTTTCTGATCTAAAATAAGAAGAAAAACAAAATTGGTAACTGTGTTAAAGGTGTTCAAGATAGAAAAAAAGACTAAAACCTCTCTTCAACTTGACAAGTGTCAGACACTTAGGATAGTTATGAGTCGAGAAAGAAATGTCAGATGAGTAATTCAGGAAGCCAATAATTTTTTTTTGAGAATTTTGCAAGGCCTAGCATAGTAAAAAGTAGATAGAGGACCTGTTTCATATATGGAATTTTCAAATAAGATACCAATATAACAAAATGACCATTATTAAAAGGAACTGAATGGATTTTGCAGTTATTTTTGTTAAAAAGGCCCTACGTCACTCCATTTTAGCTGTACGTAAGGAAAATAATGCACCTGTAGTAATTGTCAGTGAACTACTTTGTAGGATATGGTTACGAGTTTTCTATTTTGGGGCTTCTCTGAATGACTTCACCACCAAGCCCCAGGAAGCTCACTCTCAAAATAACTTTATCACCCTGCAAGATGCCACTAGTCTTGGTTTCTGTTATTCAGTCATCTCCAACTCTTCGTGACCCCATTTGGGGTTTTATTAGCAAAGATAATGGAGTGGTTTGCTGTTTCCTTCTGCAAATCATTTCACAAAGGAGGAAACTGAAGCTAATACAGTTATAAGTGACTTGCCTAGGGTCACACAGCTAGTAAGTGTCTGAGGCTGCATTTGAACTCGGGTCTTCCTGACTTTAGGCCAGCTGCTCTATCTACTGTGCCACCTAGCTGCCCCCACCAGCCTTATTCCACTTCATCACTCCTCTGCCTCTCTAATGGGAGGGTGACATCATGAACTCCAGACCTCATTTAAGGAGAGAAAATATAATGAGAATAATAATAATACATGGGAATAATCATAATGTCAATCTGGTGAGGTCATTGTAAGGAAAGCACTTTTTATATTTTATTGTGATATATTAAATGAGTTTTTAATTAGGCACAAGAGAAGAATAAGATGTGTCTTTTCCAGCTACTCTTAAATACTGAACAAAACGTACTTTTCCTCATTGGTCTGGACCTGTGAGAGACTTTATGGAGAGACAGGGCTATCCTTGGAGTCAAGATGCTGCCTTATACTGGCTGTGTGACAGTGGGCAGTTCTCTTGTCCTCTCAGTGCCCAGGGCAACTCTCTAAGAGAATGAGTTTAATAATAATAATAATAGCAACAACAACAACAACAACAACAACAATAATAATAATAATAATAATAATGTAATGAGAGGGACTGGCCAATGAAGGCCCAGGGTGTAGAGGAGGTGCCATATCCATGTGGAGTCTTGGTGAGCCTGCTTCTAGAAATGACTGATGGAGGAGCGCATGCAGGTGTCTTTGGCTGGCTGACAGTGGTGATTTAAAACCTTTTAACTGACTTGTTTAGTTGTTCATGTCTGACTCTTTGTGACCACATGGACCACACTGTCCATGGGATTTTCTTGGTAAAGATATTGGAGTGGTTTGCCATTTCCTTCTCTAAGGGATTAGGCAAACCTAGGTAAAGTGACTTACCTAAGGTCACACAACTAGTAAGTGTCTAAGGCCAGGTGTGAATTCAGGTCTTCCTGATTCCAGGCCCACCAGCTCTATCCACCGAGCCATCTAGCTGCCTCCTTTAACTGACTGCTGAGCAGTAATTTAGCTTGGGTACAAACTTTGAAATGCAAACACAGAAATCAAAAGAAAACCAGAAAAGCTTGCTCACATTTGAGTAAATGAAAGGGACTAAACAATGAGGAAAGGTTTATATTCAAAGGGAGGAGAAGAGGTGAATATCTCTACAAAATTCTTGTTGTCTTCAAGGGTAAGAGAGGGAATCAAGAAACATATAATCATAGTGACTGGGTATAGTTTTGTTTTATTTCAATTATTTTAAGAGAAGAAAGAAAACAGGGGAAAAGGAATACCCCAGGGAAAAAGTTGGAGAGGAACTTCCTAGTTCACATAATTGGGATGCTTTCAGAAGAAGAATATCCAAAGAAGGAAGAAGGAGTGGTATGAAGAAGCATCTTATCTGAAAAGTACAGAGGAGAATTGCGCACACACACACACACACACACACACACACACACACACACGAGAGACTCAATGAGAAAAGAAGTAGGGACAAGGAAAGGCAAGACAAAGGTTTATGAGGGAGGAGAGAGAAGGGAGGGAATAATCATAAGCAAAACCAAAGTCAACTCTCAAAACAGCAAAATAGAAGTCAAAAAGAGAGAAATAGTATAAGAGCTAGAGATTAAGGTGTGGGTTTTGTGGAAAGAGGAAGAGGAACCGATAACTTTAATTGTATAATACTAGTGTTAATCAGATTTTTTTCTTTTCTCTCTTTTCCCTCATAATTTGGAATTATGCAAATAAAGTGACCGAAATACCCAAACCCTTTTACCCAGACATTCCACCATTGGGCAAAGAGGTCTTTGATGAGAAGAAAGTCCCTTTTTCACTAAAATATTTAGAGTAGCATTTGCTATGGTGGTAAAGAACTGGAAATAAAGTAGATGCCCATTAAGTGAGTTAATAGTTAAACAAACTGTGGTACATGAATGTAATGGAATATAACTGTGCCACTGTAAGAAACTACAAATATGATGAATACAGAGAAGAATAGGAATGCTTACATGAACTAAAGCAGAATGAAGTAAACAGAGTCAAGAAAACAATACAATGCCTCCAACAATGTAAAAGGAAAGAATAATAACCACAAAATAATCTGAATTTAATGTAAAACTACAAAAAACAAGCATAGTCCCAAAGAAGTGATATGAGAAGATACCTCGCAGGGGCAGCGAGGTGGCTCAGTGGATAGAGCACCCACCCTGGAGTGAAGAGGGCCTGAGTTCAAATCTGACCTCATACACTTGACACTTACTAGCGGTGTGACCCTGGGCAAGTCACTTAACCTCGATTGCTTCACACACACACACAAAAAGACACCTTGCCACCCCACTCCTTTCTAGAAGGGAGAGGTCTCTAGGTATGGAAAATCACATAGACTGTTTTTTGATACATGATTGATTTTGCTGATTTTTGACTCTTCTTCCATTTTTTCTTTTAAAAATATTCTAGTTGCCTCTAAAAGATATCAATAACAACTCAGTATTGTTTTTAAAAGACTTCTTCCCCTTGCCACAAATGCGAAAGATACGCAATTTGACTCCCTGATGTCTTTTTCATGTGAACTGCTCACAAGCCAGGGCTCCCTGGCACTAAATTTATAAAATATTTGATTTTTTAAAAAATTAAGCACATAACTTTATATTTACCCTAAATAAATGTAATCTTATTCATTTTGGTCCATTATTCTGGTATGTTGATACCTTTTTGCATTTTGATTTTGTCATTTAACTTTTTAGATCCTACCCCCCCTCATATCTGTTATCCATAAATTTAATAAGAATGACTTGTCTTTTTTATTCCCACTCACAGAATGTCAAATAACATAAACCGAGTGACAGAGCTCTGAGGCCTTCATAACACCAGAGAAGACCTCTAATGAATTCATGTCGATACAAACACACTTTGGGTCTAGCTGTTCAATTAGCTATTAATCCAACTAATTTTTCTATCCTCCTGTCTACATTTCTCCATATTGTTCACAAGGATAGCATAAAAAAACTATCAAATGCCTTGCTGAAATCGCAAAATAAGATATTTACAGAATTGTGCTGTTCTAGTAACATAGATGAAAAAAGGAAGCCATATATTCTTAGTGATTTTGTGTTGATTTTTCAGTCACTGCTAAGTACTCTAAAACCACTTATTTAAAAAACCATTCTAGAATTTTGCCAGGGATTGATGTCATGCTCTTGAGTCTAGAGTTTGAGGAATTTACTTTTCTTCCCATTTTGAAAATGGGGACGTTATTTGCTTGTCTCTTGTCTTCTGATACTTCCTGTTCATCATGATTTCTTAAATGTAGAATGTAATTTATCCATAACTGGACATCTGAACTCTTTCAAGCCTGGTACTTCTTTACTATCTCCTTATCTCTTTTGGGTTTCAATTCCATCTTAATCCATATTTAGTCATACCTTCCCAATCTTAAGATATTTTTTAGTTTTTATTTAAAATTTTTAAAAATATAATTTCTGATAGAAATGACAGTAGATGAAATAGCAGATGAATAGCCTTTTCTGTCACTTGCCCCAAATTATTTTTTTCCATTTCATTGGGCTGAACATAGCTTTAAGTGCCCATTTTCTTGTTTTTTGCATTTTTTCATAAGTATGAAGTTTAGATTTCCTGACAACACTATTCTATCTCTTGTATATTATACCTGCACATAGAAACTATCCCAGGCTCCTTCCCATAAAAGCCTCCTCAGGTTCATCATATTCTTTGAGACAACATTCACTCAAAACCATAGCTCAGGGGTTAGAAAAAATAATAATGAAATTCATGTGGTCAAGAATCTCAAGGGTAACAATGAAAAAAAAATTGGAAGTGGAGGGGGGTAGGGGTCGTCTCTCAGCACCAAATCTCAAACTATTCTACAAAGAAGTCATCATTAAGATGCATTGGGACTGGTTAAAAAAGAGGTCAATCAATGGAACATGTTACACAAAATACAGAAGCAAATGGACATGACAGCAAAGTGTTAATTAAACTCCCAAGCCCCTACTACAAGGGCAAGAACTCACTATCCCAACAAATTGTTGGGAAAATGAGAATGCAGGTTGGTAGGAATTAGTCATCAACCAACTTCTTACAATATGTAACAAGATAAACTTCAAATGGATAAATGACTTAGACATAAAAGGTCACATCATAAGCAAATTAGATGAGGGAGGAAAAAAGTAGAGTTCACAAGTAAACAAATGATACAGAGATCAAATGAGACAAAATGGACAATTATGATTATATAAAATAAAAAGGTTTTGCCAAAACTCTAATGTAGTTAAGATAAGATGGGAACAGGTAACTGGGAAAAAAATCTTTGCAGCAAGTTTCTCTGATAAAGGTCTCATATCCAAGATATATAAGGTACTCTTT